TGCCTTGCCACATTCTCCACTGTGAGGTCAGGGTTGATTCTACGAATAATCTCCATCTCGACCTCCCGTGGAATGGGCGTGGTGGGCACATCCTCGTCATGAAGAGGCCACTCCTCTGGTGGAAACTGGGCTGAAAAGCTAGCCAACTGCCGCATTTTGTCCTTTTTGAAACTCAGTCTAAACAGCCTGAGTCCAAACCTTTTGGATTGCTTCTCAATGGTACCATTTCCACCACCACTTCCCTCCTTCTTTTTGGTCAGAGTGTCAGTTTTATAAGAGAAAGAATTCATGTTTTTGCTCTTATCAGCTGATTCTTGAGGTGACGTTTGCTGTTGAATAGGATTAGGGGTGGGATAGGGGTACGAAGGTGGTTCTCCTCGGTGCTCCTTGGCTGCTGTACTCGGAGGAGGTTCCCCGCTTGTGTGGTCTTTAGGCAGCCTACTTTGATGAGAATCACCCCTGGGCTCCTTAGGTGACTTATTTTGGAGCACAGAAGAATGATGTCTGGAGGATTCTTCACGGTAAGAATTGTATGAGTCATTGTGACTTTTGCGTGAAGGCCTCTCTCTCAGGCAACCAGGTGTGGAAGGTGTAGCATTGCCGGTTGGTGGTGAAGTGCACTGCTGCTGAGGCTGCGGTGGCTGCTGTGGTTGTTGCTGCAGTTGTCGGTCTGTCAGACGGTCATCCAGGTGATACCACTTGTTGTTAGTTCTGATAAGGGAAGGAGTAATAAAGTAGGTCTGGGGGGTGACTATGAAGTAGCCCTCTGGAGTTGGGTAGATTTTCCTCTCACGCACCAGCATGTTAAGGGTATGTCTCAGGACCTCAGTACTGGGTGTAGGAACTCCTGAAAAAAAAATCACAGTTTTTACATTACAATTAGCAGACGCTTTTATCCAAAGCGACTTACAGTTTGAGTCAGTCAACAATCTACACTACAGTAAACATACAAAATACAAAATTACATAAAAAATATAAATGGTAATAAATAATAATAATTAATAAATAGAAAAGGTAGGTTTTAAACCTAAATATGACCCATAATGTTTACTTTGGCGTCCCTAAAACAATTTGACAATCAAAAACAATTAAACAGTATTAATTATTAAAATAAAGAAAACCAGTTTTGTGGAACATATTACAGATCTCTTTAGAGCAGAGTACTTCTCAAAAAGTGGGGCGGGCTTCAAATAGAATATGGCACGCATATAGACATAAGTGTGTAGGTTCTCCATCAGGTCATCCTGGTCATTTAATCCAAAAAATAGTTACATCGAGGGCAACTGGACAAAGTAGGTTTTTTTTTTTTTTTTGAAGATGTTTTGCCTCTCATCCAAGAGACCTCTTCAGTTCTGCTGTAATGCATGAATGATAACAAGCCTCCAGTCAATAGATGGCAGCGACTCGTACTGTGGTTTGTATAGATAAGAATATACATGTTATTTCTGTCCCCAAGAGGGGGCAATGGAGAGAAAAGATGCGACAACCAAGTAACTTAACAAATTGTTACTGCTAAAGTATAATAACATCAGATAATTCTGCCAACTATGGCATCACATCCCAGAAAGAATGGGATTAAGCTTTACTCAACTTTCTATCCTTTTTTTTTAACCTTTAAATGTGTTTCAGTTAAAGAGGCCTTGGCAACCAAACAGTACTCAGTACTATCCCACTTCTCCCTATTTTGGGACTACGTAGCTTTACAGCTAGAGTAATTCAGGTTTGTGTTTTTAAAGATTAGCCGATTATAGTTTGATTAATTTAAGACACAATTTACAGTGGTGTAAATTTAGTAGTGAATGTTTTTTCACCTTTTCATCTCAGTCTCAGACAACCTGCCAGACCGGTGGAAAATGTTTAGTTAGTAAGCAAATCCTGTTTTCCTCAAATGGTGGATCATGATCCAAAAGTGGGTTACGTGAATACATTGGCTGCATCCCAGGACTGGAGAAATTCCAATTCTACCAGTTTCATGAAGTATCAAAACAAGAAACTCTCTATTTAATAAGAACTCTGGATGACACCAGTAACAAAAACATTTTGTTTTTGTTTTTTTGTTTAACATTTCTTCAGGGATTCTTTAAAGGTTTTACTGTTAAGGCAACAATCTGAAGACACAGACAGTTGCACATGGTGTGGGCAACTACAAAAGGTTAGGACAACATGTTTGAAGGCATTTAAAAGAAACGAAACTAGCAATCTGTTCCTGTACATTTCCTCATCCTACTGCGGTGTTTCCATCAGAGAATTTCTTCTTTAAAACTTTTAGAGAATGTTTTTCACATCAGGTCACAACGTGCTTCTTTGTCTCGTCTAAAGACGGAAAAGACTGGTCGATTATAGTTTGATTAATTCGAGACAAAATGTATAGTGGTGTAAATTTAGTATTGAAGGTTTTTTCAGCTCTACAATCAACTGTTGTAGCTTTTTATTCAACTCCAGCTTCAAGTTTGCTTGAAATTGGTTATAATTGTTATAATTTAGGGTTTAAAACATAACAAAAATAAAAAGTAAAATGTAAAAGTAAATGTGACCATGCTTGAATAAAAAAAAATACACAAAAAGTTTTTCTTTTAACCATTTTGTCCTGAGACCAATTAAAAAAAGATTCAGAAATATAAATAAACAAAGTGCATGAGTTTATGGGATAATAAAAAAGTTTTTATTTTATCGTGGTTATTTCTGTAACATTTGTTGAGCCATTAACCTAATACTTAACAGCTGGGAGGTATTTTAATATCTGTAACGAAGACAGGTGGAAGACTTTATTTATGATATTTACGATTTATGATAGGAGAATGCTAACAAAACAAGGCTACACTGTTGAAGTGAGGCCTTGTTTACTCGAAGGTGTTTGTGTTTTTAATGGAAACGCAGAGAGTGTTGTTGCTGTTGTTTTGTCTTGGAACATCAGATGTTGTTGTAGTGTTTCTAATGACAAACTAATGAATCTTTAGAAAGTTTAACTAAAGTGTGCCATTACAGCTTGGCTTAATCTGCAAGGTGATAATTATTTATTCTAAAAATGATTACAAACAAAATCTTAAAATCCAACATTATTCAGCATGATCTTTTCTTAACATCTGTTAAAGCAGGACGACGATGAGAGGTTTGTACCTGGGAAGCTGGCAGTGAGGTGCTCCATCAGAGCCTCCTGGTTGACAGGCTTGTGAGCAGAGTTCATAGTAGAGATGGCCAGACACAAGATCTCCCCAAGTGGGATGAACTGTGATTGGCTAATGGGTGACATGCTGATCGGAGACACGTCACCTGCAGGAGGAGGGGGGTGGAAGAAAGAAGAAGGAGGAGGCAGAAGGACAACTGTTAGATCATGAATGAACAGCAGGCGCAGCATGTGAGGCTATGATGTAATGGTCAAACAGCAGCACTTTGCCTCGCTCGGCTCCTCCCCTTCTCCTTGTGCTTTCCTAGCCTCTCATTGCTCCTGTTTCTGCTGCCGCATCCTCAGCTTTACCAAGAGACCACTGGAATCTTTGGCACTTTTGTCAAAGTCTCCTCAAAAATGTATAAACAGACAGCAGATATCACGTGTGGAATTTCAGTTTGTGAATGAGGGGAAAAAAATCACTGCCACTGGATTGTACACTTGCAAGCTGACTTTTCTGACAGCACTAAAGAGCAGTGAGTGTAACCTACTAACAACAAGGCAAACCAGCTTTAGCCCCGACTATGACAGAAAACATCTGCCCTACTGAGGGATTGAACTGAAATGCAGCCAATCGTCCACTGCAGCTGCAGCATCTGTGCTGTAGTGAATCTGACCTAAATCTCATGATCAAAAGAGAAGCACACCATACGCAGTAAATAATGGGACGCCTGATCTTCAATGTTTTTATGTACATTCACTAAGCAGTTGACAAATTCATTCATGATAATATTTTATTTGAGATTATGATGATGAGTTTCTCTGAAAGTCTTTATAGTTCGTCTGTCCATTTGAAAATATTTTTTGTCCTGGCCTGTCCCTGGATCACGCTCAGTTTAGTAATGACGTTATCAGTATTTAGTTGATGATTTTTGTACTGGTGGTAATAAATCACCACAAAAAGAAATCAAACACAGTTTACCACAGTTTAAAGGTTAAACACCTGTGATATTAAAGAACACAAAAAAAAAAAAAATTCACACAGATGACGATACATAAATGTGTTGTGATTTGGGTCAGTACATGAGACGGAGATGAGAAAATGTTGATAGATCTGATCAACTTTGAAAACTTGAAGCACAAAGTGTTGTTGTTTACTGTCTACTGTAAGAAGATGTGTAGAAAGGGTGGAGCTCATCCTCGTGGATGTATGTGACTCACCTGGTGGACGATAACTTGGTGGGGATGAAGAAAAATGAGGAGGAGGAGGGGGAGGAAGGTGCTGCTTCTGCACACGGATGTCTTTCTCACTTCGAGAGAGATTGTGTTCCAGCGGCCGCTCACTGAGCTCTGAACTGGGCCAAGCCCGCCGCAAATTGTTGCTACGGTTCTTCTTCATAGTGACCCCTTTCCCAGGTAGCCTTCACCCCTCTGGGGCTTCTGGGCACGGTGGGGTCGGTGGAATGGGGAGGAAAGGGGAGGAAAAAGGGAGGTGGGAAAAGGGGAGGGATCTGCAGGGGGAGGTCGACCAACCTCAGGCTCAGTGCCTCCCCCGCATCAGTAAGAATGTCCCACTAGAGCAATCACACACCAGACATGGCAAGAACCAGTGTGCACCGTCACACACACACGCGTCTCATTTACATCCACTGGCAGTTCACGCTGTGGCTGGTTGACATGGGCTGCCTGACTCTCCCAGGCTGATGTGGAGCAGCAGCCGCAGCAGCAGCAGCGGCGGGGGGGGGGGGGACACCACGAGCGGAAGGGAAGGGAAGAGGCGCGAGGAC